GAGCGAGCGGCGAGAAGCCTCCTCCTCCAAATGGGCATCCCTTGGGGGGGGCAGGCACCCCCCCAAAAAAAACCCTCCTGGCACAAACCCTCCTCAGAAGACGCTCTCCATCCCATCTCCTTCCGAATTCCCGCATCCCCTCACCTTACTCATGGCGCCGGGATGGTACCCTAAGGATGCTCCAAGAAAGATGCTCAGGTCCTCTCTCCTCTCTTGCGCTCTCTCTCTCTCACTCTCTCTCGCTCGCTCTCATTCACACACTGCCCCCCCTCCGTCTCCGGCTCACTCGCATATATAGCATATTGCCGGACTCAAAGATGCCCGGCACTTTGAGTGGCAGGTGGAGGCAGCCAATGGGAGAGGCCCGTGGTTTCTGCTGCATTTGCAAACTGGGTTAATACAGCGGGATGGTGGTAGTAAACAGACGCTGAGGAGAGAATTGCCACCTTGTTGATTCTAAACTATCAACGTGGTTCTCCCTTCTCCCATGCACGCCCCCTCCCCAACTTCCACCAACCTGACATTTATTTATTTCTTCTTTCTGAAATCCAGAGCTGAGTGCTGGGTAGCTGCAAATCTTCAGACATGTTAAAAATGAATAAAGACAGTTAAAAAAAGGAAAAGCAATTCTGTATGCAATTTCCCCATAGGAGCTGATGATCACAGAGGCTGCAAGTTTGGGGATGGGGACCCGGTTAATTGGGGAGGGGGAAGTTTCTCCTACCCAAATCAAATGGCATCCTTTCCAGATATCTTAAAGCAGGGGCAGCCGATGTTGTGCCCTCCAGCCATTTTCGGAAGGTAATTCCCATCGCCCCTCACCATGCTGGGAGTGAAAAGAACTGGAGTCTATTAAATCTGCAGCTTACGGCATTAGCTACCCTTGTTTCAAAGGGACACATACAATAAATTCCACTTTTATGTCAGATCGCTCAGTTTAAAATAGTGACTACCCTCAGTGGCAGGACTTTGGGGAGACCCCAAATGCAGCAAGGTGGGCTTAAAAGGTAAAGAGACCCCTGACCATTAGGTCCAGTCGTGCCTGACTCTGGGGTTGCGGCGCTCATCTCGCTTTATTGGCTGAGGGAGCCGGCGTACAGCTTCCGGATCATGTGGCCAGCATGACTAAGCAGCTTCTGGCGAACCAGAGCAGTGCACAGAAACGCCGTTTACCTTCCCGCTGGAGCGGTACCTATTTATCTACTTGCACTTTGACGTGCTTTCGAACTGCTAGGTTGGCAGGAGCAGGGACCGAGCAACAGGAACTCACCCCGTCCGCGGGGATTTGAACCGCCGGCCTTCTGATCGGCAAGTCCTAGGCTCTGTGGTTTAACCCACAGCGCCACCCGTGTCCAATCTAAGGTGGGCTTACTCCAAAGCAAATACACGGAAGAGATAGCTCAGTCAGTAGAGCCTGAGACTTTTAATCTCAGGGCCATGGGTTTGAGCCCCACGTTGGGCAAAAGGTTCCTGCATTGCAGTGGGTTGGACTAGATGACCCTCAGGGTCCCTTCCAAGTCTACGATTATGTCATTTATGACATTATAGTCTAAACAGCTCCCCTTCCTTCCAGGGTGACCCATTAGAACAAATACACACACCATTTGAATGGCAATGCCCATCAACTGGGGGGGGCAGCCCCTTCAAATATTTTATTGGGGGGGCTGAAGGGACCTTGGTGCCTAGGAGTGGGCTCCTATAGGGAGAAAAGTCAAATGAGCTGGACCCGCCTCTCCTTGTCTCTGGCGCCATCTACTGTTGGGCTCCCTGCCGTCTCCCCTATCAGCCCCAATGGGCCCCAATCACCCCGGCAAGAATCCAGAGTCAGGATTACCCAACTGATGGCAAAACCCTAACCCTCTCTACTCAGATGTGCTTTCGAATTCGTTGGGGTTTACTCAGCGCCGAGGGCCTTCTGGCGGTTCCCTCATTGCGAGAAGCAAAGCTACAGGGAACCAGGCAGAGGGCCTTCTCGTTAGTGGCGCCCGCCCTGTGGAACGCCCTTCCATCAGATGTCAAAGCGATAAATAACTACCTGACATTCAGAAGACATCTTAAGGCAGCCCTGTTCAGGGAAGTTTTTAATCTGTGATATTTTAGTGTATTTTTGGTTTCTATGGAAGCCGCCCAGAGTGGCTGGGGAAACCCAGCCAGATGGGCGGGGTACAAATAATAAATTATTATAATATTATTATTATTATTACTCCCAGGTATGTGGGATTAGGCTTTTAGCTAGTGCCACTGGCTACACGATGATTTCAAGGGTTGACATCGCACCAATAAAAATGCGCTGTTAAGTCCAGCCCTTTAATGACTATCATAGCTCTAGTCTGTGTTTTGAATATAACCCCTTTGTCGCGGGAGAATTTCCCCCAGGAAAAGCGAGAAAACCCTTGTTTTATTTATTTAACATGCACACACACGTATATATTGCTCCATTTTTCAAAGAAATCTCTGAGCTGCTTGCAATATCGTAAAAAAGCACAAACACAAACGTGGAAGAAAAAGACCCCCATTGGAAAGAGGCACAAAACAATTAGATAAGATATCCTCTTAGTAACTTCTAGCAGATCCAAAATACAGGAAGACAGCCGAGACAGGCAGCCCTACCCACGATGTACACAAGCCTGTATTTATAGGGAGCAGCAAGATTCTCACTTCTGTGGCTGTCTCCTCAACCTGACATTAATCTGCCTCCTTCTGTCCTTCCTTCCTTTGCTGCCACAGGCAGTCTTGAAACATACGCTGTAAACTCTTGGGAATAGAGACTTTTTATTTTATTTTATTATGTTTATCCCACTTTCCCCTCCAGTGCAGGAACCAAAGCAGCTTACAACACGAATTAAAAACAGATGCAATTTTAAAAAATTGACACCCCCCACCAATCAGTTTTTAAAAATTTTAAAAAATGGTTTCCATTTGAAAAAACAGCACTGAACCAAAGCAACTTAAAGCCATTTAAAACACAGCAGAAAGAGAAGAAAACGCACAGCAGCCCATCGTTGAAAAGACCCTGCCCCAACAGTCCAACAAAAAAGTGTTTGCCTGCTGGCGAAAGGAAGGCAGAGAGAGGACCAGCCTACACTTCCATGGAAGGGAGTCCCACAATCTGGGAGCAACCACCGAGAAGGCCCTGTCTTGTGCCCTCACCAAATGTTCCTGCGAGGTTGGTGGAGCCAAGAGAAAGTTGTCCCCTGAAGATCTCAAAGCCCGGGCAGGCTCCTACAGGGAAATACAGTGGCACCTCAGGTTACAGATACTTCAGGTTACAGACGCTTCAGGTTACAGACTCCGCTAACCCAGAAATAGTACCTCGGGTTAAGAACTTTGCTTCAGGATGAGAACAGAAATTGCGCTGCGGCAGCGGGAGGCCCTATTAGCTAAAGTGGTGCTTCAGGTTAAGAACAATTTCAGGTTAAGAACGGACCTCCAGAACGAATTAAGTTCTTAACCCGAGGTACCACTATATGGTCCTTTCTCTCTTGCTTATCTTACTAAGGCAGTGTGGTGTAGTGGTTAGAACAGGTTTCCTCAACCTTGGCCCTCCAGTTGTTTTTGGCGTACAACTCCCATGATCCCTAGCTAGCAGGACCAGTGGTCAGGGATGATGGGAATTGTAGTATCAAAACATCTGGAGGGCCGAGGTTGAGGAAGCCTGGGATAGAATGTCAGGTTAGGAGCAGGAAGACAAATCCTCCCCCACTCAGCCCCTTCAGACTGGTGTGCTGTTGTTTTGCTGGTGTATTCAGTGAGGCATAGTGGTTAGAGCGCTGGACTAGGACCTGGGAGACCCAAGTTCTCATCTCGACTCCACCCTGAAAGTCCCTGGCCCAGTCATTATCTCCATTGTCTTACAGGGTTGTTGTTTGAATAAAATGGGAAGGACCAGGCGTGCTGCCTTGAACTCCTTGCAGAAAATGTGGGCTATAAATGGAATACTAGTAGAGGTGATAATAAAAATGTCATTGCTGTAATAATAGTGCATTAGCGATGGATTTATAATGGACCAGCCACATATCATCCTGCTTCCTTAGTTGTCCTGCTGTGCTTCCCCAGTGTTGCTGTGTTACTGCCATCTGGAAAAGGGGCTTTTGTTTTACAGTGCGTCAAAAGGGGGATTAAAAAGAAGAAAAGGGCCTGGAACGTTTGTGGCGTAAAAAGCTACTGTATTTCAGCAGGAAGTTACAGGGCACTGCGCGGGTTGGAAACAAAGCATTCTGTCTGCCCTGAAACTTTTGCAGTTGCGAACGGTACTGAAAGCAGAACCACGTATTACTCTCCCGATAACATCAGGTGCACAATTCATCATGAACGCACAACAGAATAGACACACACATACAGTACGCACTTCCCCCCCTCTAAACTAATATTGTATTGTCCAATCCTTTTTTAAAAACACACACACGATTTAATGGAGTAATGTTAATCAGGTAGGTGACCCAAGGGCAAATGGCCTTCATGCAATAGGTAAAGGTAAAGGGACCCCTGACCATTAGGTCCAGTCGTGGCCGACTCTGGGGTTGCGGCGCTCATCTCGCTTTATTGGCCGAGGGAGCCGGCCTACAGCTTCTGGGTCATGTGGCCAGCATGACTAAGCCACTTCTGGCGAACCAGAGCAGCACACGGAAACACCGTTTACCTTCCCACCGGAGCGGTCCCTGTTTATCTACTTGCACTTTGACGTGCTTTCAAACTGCTAGGTTGGCAGGAGCTGGGACCAAACAACGGGAGCTCACCCCGTCGCGGGGATTCGAACCGCCGACCTTCTGATCGGCAAGTCCTAGGCTCTGTGGTTTAACCCACAGCGCCACCTGCGTTGCCAAAATTGTTGTCCTTTCTCGACTCTGGTAATTGTACTATTAACATCTTTGTTCATCTCCTGTGGAATTCAGTGAAATATTAACAAGCAGCAAGCACACCCATGTAGAATCAGAGAACTGTAGAGTTGGAAGGGACCATGAAGATCATCTAGTCCAACCCCCTTCAATGGAGGAATTTTTTGCCTTACGTAAGGCTCGAACCTACAACCCTGAGATTAAGAGACCTGTGCTCTAACAACTGAGCTATCCCAGCACTTTTTTCTTTTTTTAATAAACCACAGCAATTATTTATATAACAAAGGCTCACTGCATGGTGTTTACCAAGCCGCAACTCTCTTGGCCTCCTGTCTGCAACTTGCTGTTGGTCCGCCTTAAAGGGTTGTTGCAAGGATTCCAGGGATAACTTGCGTGAATTACTCTGAGCACGTGAAAAGCGGGCTTTTGTTGTTGTTATTGTTGTTGTTGTTTAGTCGTTTAGTTGTGTCCGACTCTTCGTGAACCCCTGGACCAGAGCACGCCAGGCCCTCCTGTCTTCCACTGCCTCCCGCAGTTTGGTCAGACTCATGTTTGTAGCTTCGAGAACACTGTCCAACCTCTCGTCCTCTGTTGTCCCCTTCTCCTTGTGCCCTCCATCTTTCCCAACATCAGGGTCGTTTCCAGGGAGTCTTCTCTTCTCATGAGGTGGCCAAAGTCTTGGAGCCTCAGCTTCACTATCTGTCCTTCCAATGAGCACTCAGGGCTGATTTCCTTCAGAATGGATCGGTTTGATCTTCTTGCAGTCCACGGGACTCTCAAGAGTCTCCTCCAGCACCAGAATTCAAAAGCATCAATTCTTTGGTGATCAGTCTTCTTTATGGTGCAGCTCTCACTTCCATACATCACTACGGGGAAAACCATAGCTTTAACTATATGGACCTAATGCCAAGTATTGCTGCCGAATGTGCAGTAGCAGCATGGCCGAGGCGCTGGTTTTGACCCCGAGCACAAGGACAGGTCATAGCTCAGTGGGAGAGCATCTGCTTCGCCTGCAGAAGGTGCCAAGTTCAATCCCTGACATCTCTGGGTAGGCCTGGAAGAGAATCCCGCCTGAAACCCTTGAAAGCTGCTGCCAGTCAGAGTAGGCGACACTGGGTGAGCCAGTGAGCCAGACACTTCTTGGTTGCTTCCTTGCCACCGCCTTCCATCCCACTCCCAGCACGTCAGATGTCAGAGAGAGGCGGCGTGTGCCAGCTGCCGTCACCCACCGTGGCCCATTTAGAGCTGATTAAAGGCCTTTATTTTTGGTGGCTTTCCCTTTCTGTTTTCTCCTCATGTTTAATTTAAAGCCCAAGAAGCAGGTGATAAAAGATTAATGTGGCACAGCCAGACCCCGTGGGCGGGGGGGGGGGGGGAGAGACAGGGAACAGGCCGAGATGGGAAACGCTGACTCTGTCACTAACTCTCCTCATCCAGCAAAGCTCACCTCTCCAAATCAATGGTCCTTGAACCAGAGGAGGCAAGAGTTGGCTCCCCTTTCCTTCCCAGATCCCTTTCGGAAGCAAATACAGTGGTACCTCAGGTTACATACGCTTCAGGTTACAGACTCCGCTAACCCAGAAATAGTGCTTCAGGTTAAGAACTTTGCTTCAGGATGAGAACATAAATTGCACAGTGGCAGCTTGAGGCCCCATTAGCTAAAGTGGTGCTTCAGGTTAAGAACAGTTTCAGGTTGAGTACGGATCTCCGGAATGAATTAAGTACTTAACTCGAGGTACCACTGTAATGTTTTATTATGTTTTCACAATAAGTGGCTGGGGCAACCCAGTCAGATGGGTGGGGTACAAAGAAGAAGGAGGAGGAGGAGGAGAAGGAGAAGGAGAAGAAGAAGAAGAAGGAGAACAAGAAGGAGAAGAAGAAGAAGAAGAAGCATGAACAGCCTTACATCGAATCCGCACTACATGTTTACAGCACTGTTACGCCACTTCTAAACAGTCATGGCTTCCCCCAAAGGATCATGGGAAGTGCTGTATGTTAAGGGAGCTGGTTGCAGACCCCGTCCCACCAGAACTACAATCCCCAGAGTTGTTTAACAATGGATCTCCCTTCCCTGGAAACTCTGGGAAGTCAGCTCTGCAAGTGGCTGCGCATATTGAACTGTGAGTGGTAGATGTTCAAGACCCAGTTACTGCAGAACTCAAATTCGTGAATTTGTGTGACGAGGGGCAGCCTGCTTCCGAATTCTGTTGCTGGAGAACAGAGGAGGGAGGGACTTTTGCCTACCCCCCCCCCATGGTTCTTGGGCTTCTCGGAAGCACCTGTGGCCGGGCCACTTGGAGACTAAATGGACCCAGCAGATCAGCCTTCGCCAACCTAGTGACCTTCAGATGCTTCGGACTGCAAATTGGGATGGGCAAATTTCGGGGTCTCTCGGTTTCTTGTTTTCCCACTCTCAAGTTCAGTTCTACACATTTTCACATCAGCTTGCGATTCATTGGTTTGGCTTTAAAAAAACCAAGTCCCATTGAAAATTTGCCAGCAGTGCCATACAAATCTCTCCTCTCCCCCCCCCTCTTTTTTTTATTTTGCAAAGCGACTTCCACCAATGCAATGCATTTTAGTACATTATGTTTTCTAACAAGTATGCATTTTAATACGCACTTCAGCCTAATATATGCCCCTTTTTTGTGTGCACAAGCTGCTGGTCTGAGCAATGTGCAGTGCAAAGTTCAGTGTCACGGACTGGATGAATGCAGAGGTGCGGTGGGAGGGAACCCCTGGGGAGAGAAGGCTCAGAGGCAGGGGACTAGGGGTGGGAAGACAATGAGTGGTCAGAGGGAGAAGAGGGAGCAGACTGGGAGGAGGGCAGGCGTTGGAAGCTGAATAGGCAACAGGGTTTAGTGAGCAGGAAGCAGCTGGGGCAGAAGGCAGTCCAGAATCAGAGGCTGAAGTGGAGGCTGGAGAGGAGCGTGGGCCAGGAGACAGAGATGAGGCAGGCTGCCGAAGCAGCCAGGGAGTCTCCCCTTCCTGATGGTTTCTAGAACATGCAGAGAAATGAAAGGATCAGATTGGTTGCATGCAGACGCAATCTCTGATCGCTTGGAAAAAACCCTGGAGAGGACTTAGGCAACTTCAGTCCTTGCCATTGCCTCATTGGGTCAAGACCTACTGGGAGGAGTTCCTGGGATCCCTAGGCCTGTGCCTTTTGGGTTTCTTTGAATAAACAGTTATAATAAGGTAAAGGGACCCCTGACCATTAGGTCCAGTCGTGACCGACTCTGGGGTTGCGGCGCTCATCTCGCTTTATTGGCCGAGGGAGCTGGCGTACAGCTTCCGGGTCATGTGGCCAGCATGACTAAGCCGCTTCTGGCGAACCAGAGCAGCGCACGGAAACGCCGTTTACCTTCCTGCCGGAGCAGTACCTATTTATCTACTTGCACTTTGACGTGCTTTCGAACTGCTAGGTTGGCAGGAGCAGGGACCGAGCAACGGGAGCTCACCTCATCGTGGGGATTCGAACCGCCGACCTTCTGATTGGCAAGTCCTAGGCTGTGTGGTTTAACCCACAGCGCCACCCTTATGCCCCACCTATCTGGCTGGGTTTCCCCAGTTAACTTCACTGGCACTGGAGCCTGTTTAACCTCCTGACATGAGAAGAAGCACAGATTTCGAAGAACGGCCGCGTTTTGGTTTGCAACTTACTTCAGAAAGTGTCAGACAGGTCTGGGTTTAAATGCATGCTGCATCGAATGCCTTCCCCATCTGTAACTATAATTCCCATCAGCCCCTGCTAACCGTAGTTGAAAACGCCTGAAGGGCGTCGGGTTGGAGAAGGTGGACTGAAATCATGATCTTGCCCAGGTTTTGGGTCTCTCTCCAGGCATCAGGAAGCAAACACGGGTCTGTCTTGGGCTTCCTGCTTCTGCTACTCTGGAAAGGCTCCCTCTTTCTCACTCGGGGCGCATGCCTCAGATCTGATGGGGACAGAGCAGTGCGGATCTACACGTCCTTCTCCGATTGCAGCCTACCCAGCTGGCATGCATCAGCAGCTTCAATTATACTCCCACTGGTGAGCTCGCAGCGATGCACTCACACCCCCATATAGGCAGGCCCTGCTCATACGCTCAGAGACAGACAAGGAGAGAGAGAGAGAGAGGCTGGCTCTGAAATTTATGGCGAGACCACACTTGGAAAACCACGTGCCGTTCTGGTTGCCTCGTCCCAAAAAGGGTACCTATCGCAGAGCTGGAAAAGGTTCGGAAAAGGATGGAGCAATTCACTGATGGGGAAAGCAATGCTCCCTAATGGAGCAATTCTCTAGTGGGGAAAAGTTTCAACATTTGGGCTTTTTCAGTATGGAAGAGGGAAAGACACATACAGTCATACCTCGGGTTGCGAACGTGATCCGTGCGGGAGGCACGTTCGCAACCCAAAGCACCGTGTCTGCGCATGTGCATGATGAGATTCGGCACTTCTGCGCATGTGCATGACATAATTTTGTGCTTCTGCGCATGTGCCAAAACCCGGAGGTAACCCATTCCAGGTTTGGTGCGGTCCTCAACCCAAAAACACACAACCTGCAGCGTTCGTAACCCGAGGTATGACTGTAAAAGCAAACGAAGAGCCTGGCTGCTGGATCAGGCCAAAGGCATGTCCAGTCAAGAATCCTGTTCTCATAGTTGCCAGGCAGATGCATCAATGGGAATCATAGAATTGTATAGTTGGGAGGGAACCAAGGGTCATCTAGTCCAACCCCCTGGAATGCAGAAATCCCAGCTAAAGCATCTATGTGGGATGGCACGGTTGGGGGCAGGAAAATAGATAGACAGATAGATAGATAGATAGATAGATAGATGATAGATAGAGAGATAGAGAGATAGAGAGATAGAGAGATAGAGAGATAGAGAGATAGAGATAGAGATAGAGAGAGAGAGATAGAGATAGAGAGAGAGAGAGAGAGAGAGAGATAGAGATATACAGATAGATAGATATATAGATAGATATATGGGGAAAGTGGAGAGAGAACCATTTTTCTCCCTGTCTCTTAACACAAGAACATGGGAACATGCATTGAAGCAGAACACAGGAAGGTTCAGGACACTCAAAACAAAATTCTTCTTCACACAGTGTGTAGTTAAAACAGTGGAATCATAGAATCGGAAGGGACCCTGAGGGTCGTCTAGTCCAACCCCTTGCAATGCAGGAATCTTTTGCCCAGCATGGGACTCAAACCCACAACCCCTAGATTAAGAGTCTCTTGCTCTACCAATGGAGTTATCCCAGTTCTTTTAAATAAGACCAAGCATGCCAAGTTGGGCCCCACATATTGGGGGAGGGGCTGCTGCATGTGCATGACATGACACGTGCGATGCCCTGCCCCCATTGGGCCACGCGTGCTGGGACGAGCGTTTGCCTGCTGGGACACACTGGCAATTGTGGAGGGCGGCTTAAAGGGTGAAAATCACCCTCCAAGCTCCTCACCTGGTGCGCTGGTGCTCACCCAGGGCAGCAGGGGACAGTAAAGGTAAAGGTACCCCTGTCCGTACGGGCCAGTCTTGACAGACTCTAGGGTTGTGCGCTCATCTGACTCTAAAGGCCGGGAGCCAGCGCTGTCCGCAGACACTTCCGGATCACGTGGCCAGTGTGACGAAGCTGCTCCGGCGAACCGGCACCAGCACACGGAACGCCGTTTACCTTCCCGCTATAAAGCGGTACCTATTTATCTACTTGCAGGGGACGGTAGCCCCCTCAATATTGGAGGAGGCTGTACCCCCTGCTTCAAAATATTGAGGGGGCTGAGGCCCCTTGTGCCCCATATACCTGCCGCTGCTGATTAAGACCACAAGAGTTAGCGATGGGCACCAGCCTGGATAGCTTGAAAAGAGGGTTGGACAAATTCATGGAGGAGAGCACAGCTACCTCTGGGGTCGGAAGCCCTATGCCTCTGATCTGAATACAGTGGTACCTCAGGTTACAGACGCTTCAGGTTACAGACTCCACTAACCCAGAAATAGTACCTCTGGTTAAGAACTTTTCTTCAGGATGAGAACAGAAATCGTGCAGCAGCAGCACGGCAGCAGCGGGAGGCCCCATTACCTAAAGTGGTGCTTCAAGTTAAGAACAGTTTCGGGTTAAGAATGGACCTCCGGAACGAAATAAGTACTTAACCAGAGGTACCACTGTACCCGTTTCTGGGAATTGCAAATGGGCAGTATTGCTATGCGTTCAGGCTTCCCGGTCGTATCTGGTGGGCCACTGTGAGAATGCTGGACTAGATGGTGTTTTTGTGTGTGTATTTGTGTGTGTGTGTGCGCACACAAACACTAGGATCCCTGTGGCCCATCAGAGCCTTTTAAACTTGCAAAGCAAAAGTTCACACCCAATTGAAGCATAAGTCATCTGTGCAGAGGCAACGCTTGCTCAGTTTAGCACCCTTTCTGCAGAAGCTTCAGGATTTTCTCAAGTGACCAGGCCCTATTGCAGGGTTCTTTGCAGAGGTTCTAGCAACTGTCAGGTCAGGGGTGGGGACGGCGGCAACCCTTGGGCTTTAAAATTTCAATAGCACCCTGTGCAATGCCAAAATTTGACACTCCCCACCTCTTGTATTCCGTTGTCCGTCATTCATGCCATGTCCCCTACGCGGCGCCCTCTCAGCTCAGCACCCAGTGCGGGTGAACCAGTTGCGCCCCTCTAAATACAGTGGTACCTCAGGTTACATACGCTTCAGATTACAGACTTCAGGTTACAGACTCCGCTAACCCAGAAATATTACCTCGGGTTAAGAACTTTGCTTCAGGATGAGAACAGAAATCTGTCTCCGGTGGCACAGCAGCAGCAGGAGGCCCCATTAGCTAAAGTGGTGCTTCAGGTTAAGAACAGTTTCAGGTTAAGAACGGACCTCCAGAACGAATTAAGTACTTAACCCGAGGTACCACTGTATGCCTCTACTGTACTGGGGAACCTCAGGTCTGAGGGCCTGAATGTGGCCCTCCAAACCTCCCTACCTGGCCCCCAGGATTCTCCCCAGACCACACCGTTTACCAGCCCTGCTGCGGCACCTTACTCAGGTGCTTTGGCCTGGCTGAAATGTGTCCTCGAACTCTGTGCCTTTTTCACTTACCTGGGTGGAAATGCAGACCTGGGGCTAATGAATGGTCCCTCAGCCCTGCACTAGGCAGTCTATGAGAAACTGGGGAGGAGTAATCCGCCTCTCGCTCACCTTTTTGTCAAGACAAGAGATCCACAGATCCGTATGTGCATGTTCTGCAACGTTGCAGTCTCATGCAGCATTGAATAAGGAAGTAAGAGCCAGCATCTTGAGAGTCGTCTTTAAAGGGAAACAAGTTTCTAGTCCTTAAGATAAAGCCCTGAAAGTGTGGAGCTTGGGTCGGGCGGAAGGTTAGGCACCCAGATGGTGTGGGGAAATGCTGAGCAGGATTACCACCAGTGCCATCTGGAATTGCTCTTTGGCCACAATGACCGAACCATACATTTAAAGTGTGTTGCTTCCCCCAGAGAATCCTGGGAATTGTAGTTTATCCCTTATGGAGCTACAAAGCTAGCAACCTTAGATGATGTAGTGAGGCAGCTGTGGTTAGGATGGATGAACAACAATGTGGGAATACTGCCCCCTGTTGGCTGTAGGCTGCACCTCTCTCTCTCTCTCTCTCTCTCTCTCTCTCCCCCCAAACCACCAATATTTGGGGCATAGCTTAGTGGTAGAGCAAAAAAGGCGCCCACATTAATAATAATAACAATTTATTATTTATAGCCCGCCCATCTGGCTGGGTTTCCCCAAGCCACTCTGGGCGGCTCCCAACCAAATATTAAAAACACAATTCAGCATTAAACATTAAAAGCTTCCCTAAACAGGGCTGCCTTCAGATGACATTTAAAAGTAAGAGAGTTGATTATTGCCTTGACATCTGATGGGAGGGCATTCCACAGGGCAGGAGCCACTACTGAGAAGGCCCTCAGTTCACAGCATCTCCTGGCAGGGCTGGGAGAGACGTGGATCCCTGAAGAGCTGCTGCCAGCCAGTGTTGGCTATTCTGAGCTAGATGGACTAATGGTCGGACTTGGCATCTACTCTGAGATTTTGGGGGTCAGGGAGAGTTATATGGGTGATACATGAACCAAGAGAGACTTTTGTAACCTTGGTGGGTTCACGCAAACTTCCTCTTGATGTAGGTGCCAACTCTATGGGGCTGAGGACACCTCAGTCTCCCCACCCCCAAAGTAAGTTGGGGCTGGGCCCCTCCCTCAATCTTGAGGGGCTGGGCCTCACCAGCCTCCCTAAGTTGGTGGCAAGCAATGTTGGGCCTCGCAGCTCTCCCCATTTGTGATTCAGAGGCAGATAAGGAAGAATGTAGCGCTTGTGGCTGCTAGCCGTGGACAGTCTTGTCCTCTGTTAATTCCTCCAATCCTCTTTTAAAGACATCTATGGTCACATCCAGGGACGCGGGTAGCGCTGTGGGTTAAACCACAGAGCCTAGGACTTGCCAATCAGAAGGTCGGCGGTTCGAATCCCTGCGACGGGGTGAGCTCCCGTTGCTCGGTCCCTGCTCCTGCCATCCTAGCAGTTCGAAAGCACGTCAAAGTGCAAGTAGATAAATAGGTACCACTCCGGCGGGAAGGTAAACGGTGTTTCCATGCGCTGCTCTGGTTCGCCAGAAGCGGCTTAGTCATGCTGGCCACATGACCCGGAAGCTGTATGCCGGCTCCCTCGGCCAGTAAAGTGAGATGAGCGCCGCAACCCCAGAGTCTGTCACGACTGGACCTAATGGTCAGGGGTCCCTTTACCTTTACCTATGGTCACATCCACACCGTACAGTGTAGCTCTCTGAGGGGCAAACTACACTTCCCATAATTCATTGGGGGAGCCATGACTGTTAAAGTGGACTAGATGTGTTTTAAATATATGGTGTGGATGTGGCCCAAGTCGGTGGCCGTCTCTACTTCTTGTGGGAACAAATTCTGCAGTTTAACTAGGCGTTGCGTAAATAAAGTTATTTTCTCTGTCCTGAATCTTCAAACATTCAGTTTTATTGGCAGGCCCCAAGTTTTAGTATTATGTATCCAATTTTCCCCCCTCCCTCCCCTCTTTTTACCTGCTGAAGTATTTCCAGTGTGGTACCAAACTTAACACCATATCCGAATCCAGGATGCACTGCCTTATCAGCAAAGCAAACACACTCGCTGCAGAGGTAGAAAACCTGGAAAAGGAGAACAGTGCCTCCAAGGTGACAAGGGAGGCAGAGATTTACAGGGAGAGATCTCTCTTTTTCTCTCCCCTCAATTGGAAGGAAGAAGAGAAGGGAATGAAACCCCAGGGGATAAAAATCTGAGCAAAACAGCCTCAGCCTGGGGAGGGAATCGTCCCCTCAGGGATGCAGGAACAAATCCATCAATATTGGTTTCTCTCAGGTGCAGACACATTCATGACACTAGCCGCAATCCATATCTAGCTGGTCATTTCTGAGGAAATACTTCATTTTGATGCGTTTCCCACCAAAGAAGCTGCAATCCAAACTGAGAAACAGGGTGACCCAGCTGCATTTTAAGCTGGTAATGTGCCTCAGTTTCTAATTTTTCCAATCTTAATTTCAAGTCTCCATATATTCACAATAACACACACTCAACACATTTAAAGGCCATGGAATATTAATCAGCCAAAGAGGAGCTGGTGCCTAAAGATGCAGTGGCGTGAGGTCAGTGGACTAGGGGGCTAGGCTAGTCCCCTAAATGTTCCCAGTAAATTAGAGTATTAAAGTATTAAAGTCTAGCACCTCCTCCCCAAAGCTAGGGGAGCTTCTGCCTGGTTTAGGGAGGCATGATGCTCACGTGAGTGACGTCCCGACGTCTCCACGCCCCGCAATCACCCTCACAAACTGGTGCCTCTAGCCCTAACTGTTCCCCTGCAAAAATTTCACTGCACACCACTGTAAAGATGTATAATGAAGGTTTCAGTCGAACCTCCCTGAGGAGAGCAATTCCACAAATGGGGAGCCACCACAGAAAAGGCCCGTTCTCGTGTTGCCACCCTCCAGACCTCACGTGGAGGAGGCACATGAAGAAGGGCCTCAGAGGAAGATCGTAGGATCTTGGTCAGCTCATTTGGGGAGAGGTGGTCCTTGAGATATTGTAGTCCTGAGTCATTTAAGGCTTTATGGGTCAAAAACAGCACATTGTATCGGGCTCGGATGCTAATCAGTAGCCAGCGCAGCCGGGCCAGGATCAGTATAATATACTCAAAGCGTCTTGCCCCTGTGAGCAACCTGGTTG